ATTGTTTATTGTTCTTGTTAATCGTTAAAATCAATTCTAGGATTTTCGTCGAATTAGGTGTTGGATACGATTTGGGTAATTATTATTTTTATTTATTTTTTCTACCCCTTTACATTGGGAAAGTGAAACACTGTGACAGATGGGTCCCATGAAATCCAACAAGCCACGTAACATCATGATTAGGGAGAGCATTACATGTAAGACCGTGTAGAACTGCGGTTGTGAGGCGGTGACCATTACTTACACCACTCGCATGCACGTACGCTCTCGTTTTGAAGACTGTAAATACTTTGGACTACTACAACAACAAAAACAACGCTAATTTGTTTTGAAAACTTGCATTTATTTATATGAAATTTAAATAATTACTACTATTAAACGAGTATTTAGATATTTCCCTCGTTATACGTGATTAAATACAACTTTACTTATTTAAGGATAAACAAAGTAGATACATTATACATACATTCCTTCACACGTCACATGCTAACCAGACAGAGCAGAAGAGGAAAGGCTCAAACTTCGATGTGAAAAAGAAAATCTTGGTTATACATACATAAGCTCATGACAGCGTATTAAATCGATTGAAAATACTATTAAAAAAAATTAATCAAGTACAAGTTAAGAAGGAAAATATTAACACTAGCCAAGAACTTTTGTTGTTCAAAAAAGTATAAGAATCACATTAAAACTTGAAAAAACTATATGGTCCCACAAATGATAATTTTGAAAGAATTTATTATTAAAAGGTAATGAGAGAGTGTGCTAGAGTATGATCCACGTTAGACGAGGTTGCGTGAGGATGTAGAAAATGTGTGTAAATGAAAACATAATGTCTTGGGCTAATCGTAGTTTACAAAGCGAATAGAGAGAGCATCTTTTGGAAAGCGGTGGTCGTCCCCGTTTGTCGAACTATGGTTCATCAATCTCTAGACGATCTGATTCTCTCACTCTCTCTCTCTCTCCGTGAATGTTTTTGAATCTTTTGATCGAATGGGGTCGATATTCCAGAGGAGGGTGTTTGGGCTTGGCCATGATGAATGTGGGGTCCCTTTGCTTGTTTTTATAATATTGATTTTGAAAACATAGTTTATTTTTTCTTTTTGGTATAGTAGTTTCTATCTTTGACCCATAGAAATGTGTTGTTGTCTAGTGGACTAGACACATAAGAAGCCAAGTGAGAAGCCAGGGCAGGCAGAGTTGCTTTGATGATTGCAGGGTATCTCATTTGTGATACCTTTATCTCTTTCTCTCTCTTTGGCCACTTTTTCTCACTGTGATCCAAAAACCAATCCAAATCTCAGGATCTTCTTCTTCTTCTACTACTACGGCTACAAATACTGTTGCCCCCATCAGCAACTGGTCCTAAAAAGCAATGTTGGAGTGATGGGGTTTGGATTCGGGGCATGAGGTTACTATCATGACAATTGACGAACTTGGCTTTGTTTTGGATTCACGTGATTCCCACGGTACAAAAACTGGTCGTTGTGGTTTGATGTTTCTTGTTGCTGCAGACTTGATGGATTGGACGGCCTATAACAACTAACGGAGTAGTACTAGTTTGGAACAAGAGTGGTCATTGTTCTGTTCAACTTCAAAATAATAATAACTCCTCGCATATATGTACACTCAGTACTGCTACTAACCCCACAAATTGGACCTATCCCACCACTCATCAAAGTGCGTGACAAGCCAAAAAATAAATTTTTTCTCGCATCTACCATTAGCCAATCAATATTTAAGATTAAATCATGTGCATCTCACAATCCTAAACCGACAAACATTGCAACTTCAGATTCACTTACACACATGATACAATTACTATATATCAATTATATATGATTCTTTGATGTTAATTTTTTTAAGTGATTTTGTCATATGAGAACTTTGAATTTATTTTATAAATATTTATAATATATTTTTATTTAATATATAAATTAAAAAACTTTAACACGTTTGAATTTGACTCGGTCAAACTAAGGTTCTTAAATTAACTATGAACACATATTATTCTGAGTTTTATTCATATAAATACCGTTTTAAAATATTTTTACACAAATATTTAATAGATTTTGATTATTTGTCACATTATCTTTTTATTTATATAACGTACAATTTTATGAGTTTAATTAATGGTGATATATAGCCATCGTAAGATACCTTTAAAGTGTCATTCAATCATAAACTATAGTTTTTTGATTAATTGATTATGTAAAACTTTTTACTTTAACAGGTTATTATTATTAAATTCAAATTTTATTGAACTCTTAAAAATTAAATTCTTATTATGTTTCCAATTTATATACTAGAACTTTCAATAATTCTTATTTTTAGTTTTTATAACTTTAAGGTTTAGAGTTTAGGGTTTCAATTATAATTAAAGTTTTATCTTTAATATACATAACATTATTAAGATAAAATTTTAATTAGAGAATAACATCAACAACATTTATGATATTGTATTTCAATTCTATCATTTTATCTATAGTTAAATTAATTTAATAATGAAACGCCTATTCAACTTTGGTACACATGAATTTATTTATTCTCTATAATAATATAAGTTGGACTAATGAGTTAAAATATTATTTTTTTAATTAAATATAGTATTATTATAAAATATATTTTTTTTCCATTGAAATAAAAAAAAATGTAATAAGAGAAACAGACACTAACAAATAATGTTATACAAATTATTTTATGAATTTGGTATACATGTATCATTTTTCTTAAATATAATCATAATTTAGCCTAGTGATTGGGTGTGGAGAGGTTGGGGTAGTTAGAAGCATGAGGACCTAGGTTCAATCCTCATTGCAACCATCTTTATAATCTTTCCTATCTTTACAAAAAAAAATATAATCATAATTAAATCATTTAATTCAAAGAACATGTTGAAAATAAAATTTAAATTTATGAGATTATTAACTAAAATTACTTAACACTTTTATTAATTTTGATAAATTAATTATTTATTTCCTATATAAAAAAGTATTTTATACTTTCCTTGTTGTATAAAAAGTGTCGTATTAAAAGAAAAATTTGTCTAAAACTAAGTGTTATATTAAATTTTTAATGTACTATTAATTACCTTTTCTTCATTTATACTCTTAATAATATTATGTGGAAAGTGATTGTTATATTGCATCATTTTTAGAAAAGAAGATTAATTATATGATTAAATTTATTTTTTCATCTATTTATTAATTTTTTAACATGTGTAAAATAACTTTAGACCATACTTATTATGAAATAGGAAGAATATTTTATAATTAATAACTAAGTTTTAAGATTTATAGATGATAAATTGTGACTTTTTGTATAATATATAGTTTTTAATTTATATTTACATAAATAATCTATTTTATATATTATTTACGTAAATATACTAAAGTACTGTGTGTAGTGAAGAATTATTTCTACATCAACCGATTTGTGAATTAAAATTTTTTTTCCAGTTTTTTTAAGTCTCATGAGAAATCGGTTTTTCAAAAACCGATTTCTCAATGAGGTTACTTTTTTTTATAATTTTTTTTTCGAATTTTTAATTTATTTTGTTTAATTTTTTTCCAAAATTATTTAAATTATAATTAAAATTTTAAATATAATAATTTTATAATTTTTAATTAACTTGAGTATTTAATTTTTTAATACAATATAGATATTTTAATATTTTTAATTATTTTAATAATTTTATTTTATTTCAAAAAATAAACATGTTTTAATATTTTTATATAAATTTTTAAAAATTATTTTAAAAATACATTTTACTTCATAAACAATTTTTTTGGCGTATAATTACAAAGCGCATATAATTACATGCAAAGCATGTAATTATAAAAATATTTGCATAAAAAATATTTAAATATGTATATTTTCTGAAATAAAATGAAATTATTAAAATAATTAAAAATATTAAAATATCTATATTTTATTAAAAAAATTAAATACTCAAATTAATTAAAATTAATAAAATAATTATATTT